GGGACAACCAGATATTATTTGCCTTCTGTGGTGAGGCAATATGAAGTACACAGCATCACCTAATGAAGTATTCTTTTCAAAAATGTCAAACTTAATCTAATCGAGCTTTTGGCAAACATCCAATTTACAGGAAATATGGATGATGGATTAATAAGTTAAATGATACCATGAGGGTACAAATCTATATTGTGGGACCTTCTACAGGACAATGGACTTATTTCTTCAGTAAGCCACTTGCATGAAAAAACTGAGGAGTTACTCTAAAGACTTTTAAGGGACCTAACCACCAATTGCAATCTTTAACCTTGCTTGGATCCTGACTAAAACAAACCAACTGGAAAAAGACAGTTTTGAGACAATATGGGGACTTTAAATATAGATAAATAGATGTTAAGGAAATACTGTAATTTTTCTTGATATAATAATGGCAGTGTGGTTATGGAAGAAAATGTCCATATTTTCCTGAGATGCATACTAAAGTATGTAAGGATAATATCTTAGACGTGAAGCCTAAGATTTACTCTAAAATACTCCAGCATTTACAGCAAACACAGCAATAGAAAAAAATGAAACAAGTGTGGTAAAATCCTAATAAATGTTGTATCTAGATGATGGGTATATGCAGGTTCATTACACAATTTTATTTATTTTTATTAGTGTTTAAACATTTTCATAATAAAAATGGGAAGAAAAGATGTGAGGACTAGATGGTTTTGTAGTTGAGTTCTAGCTAACTTTTAAAGAATAAATATTTCTGATATTTAAATAGCTACGGCCTCAAAAAAAAAAAATAAAAGATGAAAACTCTCCCATTCATCTTATAAAGGTAGCATCACTTTTAAAACTTCCTTTGTGAAGTATAACATGCATGAAGAAAAGTTTACAATTGTTAAACGTATAGCTTGAGGAGCTTTTGCATATTGAATACACTTGAGCACACAGATAAAAAAAAAAACAAAACGATATTATGAGCACCCCGGAAACCTTCCTCATGTCCATTTCTAGACAGTATCTCTTGCTGAAGAGATCCACTATGCTGAGCCAAACTCTGATTTTAAAAAATAGTGCAAAAAATAAAAACTACAGAACAATTTCACTTATATCAAGGCAAATTTTCTGAATATAATATTAGGAAATAGAATCTAAAAATATATTTTAATATCTCCACAATTATACACATATTATTAATAATTTAATTGCTCACCACTATTGCTTGCACTCCCTCTAGGTTCTTGCTAAAGTATATACTTTGCTAGTAGTTTTTTCAGAAGGGATTCTGAGTAGTAAATAATTTTGGCTCTTCTGTGCTTTAAAATGTATTTATTTTACCCTTACTTTTTAATAAGAGTTTGATTAGCAAATTCCAGATTGACAGTTGTTTTCCCTCAGCATTTTGAATATATGACACCATCACCTCCTGACATCCACTGTTAATGAAAGATCCATTGTCGTTTTGTCATTTGTTTCTATGTAATTCATCTTCTCTCTTTTGTAGATTACATTGATCTCTCTTGCTTAATGCTCGGCAGTTTGGCTACAGCATTTCTAGGTATAGATTTATCTTCTTACTAATCACTCTGAGATTTTTTCAATTCAGTGTTTTCATGTGTTTCTTCATTTCTGGAAAGTTATCAGTCATTTTATTTTCAAACATCACCTTTTGTCCATTCTGTTTTCTTCTGCATCTTTCACTGGACATATTTCTGAACTTATTCTGCCCTCCATTATCCTTAACTTCTTTCATAATTTTCTCCTTTATCTTACTGTGCTGTGATGGAGAAGCTTCGCTCTCTGTGCTACCTTCCAACTCATTAATCCTCTCTCTTCAGATACATCCAGTATATCATTGAGATAATTAATTGATGGTTATTATCATTTGTCTTCTATTTTAAATGATTATATTTTTCACTTCCAAGATTTCAAATTTGTTCTTTTTCAAATCTTCCCGTTCCTGTTCCATAGATGCGACTTTCTCATCTTTGAGCCATTAATATGTTATTTTTAAGTTCTCAGGTTGATCTCTATGTTCTCAAGTGTTAATTCTTCTATTTGTTGAATTTGCCAACTATTTTTTATGTTGGTGGATTTTTTCATGTGTTTAAAACATTTTTAAGAGCTATTCTCATTCGGAAGTTCTTCATATACACCCTTGCTTTTCATATGAAAAGCCTTGGTCTAGATGGGTTTCACAGGTCTTATATTAGCAGATCACTTTGGATCTTTTACTCCACATAATGGTTTAATTTTAGACCTTACATGCATATTGTATGGACTCAATTTCTATGTTCCATGGAACCTTGGCTTCTTTACTTTTTGTGTATAAATTCAGTGTTCTCAAAAGCAAAATCCACATCCAAAATACTTGAATAGACTACATATCCATTTAAGAAGTAGTAGTTCTATTTTTTGGATAATCAATTTGAGGATAAATGACCAAAGACTTACAAACTAGAGGGGGGAAAATAACATCAGGCATCTCCCGGCTCTCTACAAATCTCTTCTCACTGTCATATTGTATGCGTATAAATGAATCTGAAGTTTTATGCTTCCACTTCACAAGCCCCTTATAATATTTCCATTCCAGATCCCTTAGATCCATGAATTGTTTTTCTGAAAAGAATCATATTTTCAAAGAATCACATGGTGATGTCATTTAACCTTCAGTTATTCAGAGATGCTTTATGATAAAATAAACCTTTGATGAACTTGAGCCTCCTTCCTCCCTTCTCTGATAGAAAGCTATTTTTGTAACAAAGAACCTATGGTGTCCACCTCATCTAAAGCTCTCCTCCAAATAAATATTGACTAACCGGGCTAGAATGGACCCTGCAGGGCATAGCAGGTAGAGACAGCGTCTCATTTGGTGCCTGAATACTAAGAATGTGCACCTGGAGAGCCCTGCGGAGATCTGAGATCAACAAAGAGGAGACAGAGATCCTAATCTCCGGTTAAAACAAGGAGGAAGATTGATCAGAAGTACAGAGATTGTTAGTGTCATTTTTTCCAAGGTGCTGGTGTAAGCGCTAAGTATGTCAGGGGAGTGGCTCAGTCAGAATTTGGCTATTTTCCCTACTCTCTCTCAAGACCTACCAGTGTGGAGTGTCATTAGTAGTTGCAATTCCTTCAAGGAGCCAAAGAACCACAACCAAGATATGCTGCATATTCCCCTACGCAGCAGCCATTTCCCTTTCCCTTCTCATCAGTTCTTTTCATGACTAAATAAATTATAAACCTAAAAAAAAAAAAAGAAAGAAAGAAAGAAAAAAGCAAGCAAGCTAGCAAGGCCTAAGGCAGGGGCTTGAGTATAAAACCAGAGGCCAAAGAGCCAAGATGAGTGTCAGAAGTATAAGGAGAATAATGGGTACAGCAAACAAACAAGAACTGGTCTATTTCTTATGGACAACTTCACCATCCTTCTTATTTGGTGATATTTGAGCAGGTCACTTATGGCCCAGATACTGCCCCTGCCCCATCAATCCTCCATTCCTGGGAAAGGCCCGGATTTTCCTAGGTCTATTTGATAGAAAGTCTATATAATATATACACACATACACACACATACATATTTCTATATACACCTGAGGTAGGACACTGGGGCCAGGGACAGTCTCTTGAATTCATGTCTGGCCATAGTGTTTAACAGTCTGTCCCTAGGGTCAGTAATCAAGTGTCAGGGAGTTTGACATGATCTTGGCAGGCCTGGCCTAGCAAGAACTGGTGCTAGAAAGAAGGAAAGGGATATTTGGCAAAAGGCGGCCATAGAATTGATGATTTTGATTCCTAAAGAGCTTTATGTTGTGCCCTGTGGTAGACACTAGAGGTTGGCTCACTATAATCCTCTTCTGCCTTCCTTTCCTATAGGGGATGGAAAGCTCAGAACTCTGTTCACTAGCCTTCCTTGCAGTAGGGGTGGACACTGAACACAATTTTGGCCAACAAGATGTAGGGAGGTGTGTTCTGAGGAAGCTTTGCTTCCTATTAGAAGCAGACCAAACTAGCCAATGTGGCTCTTTGTCCTCTCCTCCTCTTCCTACCTGGAATGTGTCCTATTTGGCTTTTCTATTATTTTTTTGTCAAACACATTCCTAACCTACATGGTGCTACAAAATTTAGCCTGAGCAAGAGGCACTCATAAGGTAGAAGAACAAAATGCAGCATCCACTCCCTTTTCCTCCTCCAGTGCTTGGTGCTAGTAAAGGTATGTTCTATTCTATTCTTTAGTATATCAGGGATCCTAAAGTTCTCCTGGACTGAGAATACTTTAGGGACTGACTGGCTGATAAAATTATAGCAATACTGGGAACTGTAGGACAGTAAAAGATAAATTGTTTTAATATCAATTACACCTAAGGAATTACTGGACATTCCTCATATGGATGCCTACCTGGCTTCATGCATATTCCTTGAATAGACAGGACATGTCTCAGAAATTCTACCTCCAGGATCTTTAAAAAATGAGGTCGTGGAGGCAGAGAAGGGACTTCAACAGAGTCTGGGAGGGCACATGAGAGACCTCTGGAGGTTAGGGAGCTAGCAGGCAATCTATGAGGAAGAAGGAACAATTTGGCCCCTGTGGGTAGCAAAGCCATAAATGTTTAAGACCTATCAAACATCCAAAACCTTCAGTACTTCTTCAGTAGGCTTTTTGCCAGTTGTTATTGATCTTCAGTACTTTCTGTGTTTTTTCCTCTCTGGTCCCAGACTTTACCTGCATAGTTTTGTGGATTTATGTAGGTCATTTCTACATTGCTTTAATTTCTATTTCTGCCTGGGCTCCAAAACACATAAAGTATGATTCTATCAAAGGGATTTGAAACCAACATTAGGATCTGCCAGACATTGATGTAGGGAGTTATAGCAAAGATTCTTCCAGCACCTTATACCAAATATGATCAGAGTAATCAATTTAGTCTCTTGAATTTGTTCTTTCCATCTCTCCTACTACTTTTAATATAAAAATGGTGGTGTCAAAATATTTACTGTGCAAATGGTCTTCTCTTGAGTCAAGAACTTACTTTAGAGGGGTTCAAATATTTTATCAGTGGTTTAATCATTTTTTATAGCTACACAGAATTACAAAATATTACTTCCCACAAATTATATAAGAAAAATGATGAATTTAGGAATAAGACACCCCCTTCTCACTAAAACTTACCATCATATATTTTATATATTTTAAATTTTCTCTGTATAGTCTTTGTCCTTTTATGGGTAGCTCCCTATTAAAGAATCAGAAATAAAGAGAGAGTTTCCTCTTGTTTGTAGAGATGTAATAATAAGGAAAAGGTAAAGTTTCATGAAAAAAAAAAAAAACACCTTTAAAAAGCCTCAGTTGAACAAAAGTCAAGATACCTAAGAAAGATAAGCCATTATTCAGTAAATATTTGACTAACTTCACAAAACAAGAAACAAATAGTCATGGGTGCTTTAGAGTCCAAGTTTAACCGGCCCATTTTATAAAAATAAGTTTAAGTGTCATGTCTAAATAATAACTTCTTTTTGGCGAATGAGTTTGAGATTTGATCCTGGAATGTTTGATTCCCTGTCCTCTATTTCTCATTGCCATGGTAGGCAACAAGAGCATCAGACATGAACCCCAGAACTGCAAAATTCCCATAGGTTAATATTTGACTGTTTCAGCTCTAGAAATGTAGGTAAAGTTTGTAGTAAAATTTTCACTCATTTTCTACCACACACTCATATTCTGGCCTTATCTGTTTAGATTACCTGGATCAACTAATAAATATGCAGAAATTTTATCTTCAAAGGTAAATTTTTCTGGCTTGATGTGGGAAGCACCCAGCCTGGGTATTATTTTGGTGCTCTGAATCTTCTGTGTGGTGGCCAAAGAGTTAGAGTAATTGATGAGAATCTCATAAGGAAAAGTGTGTGAGGGAGGAGGGATCCCATACTGGAGTAGTCTCTGCTGGGATCTGGAGAGTCTCTCTACTGGAGAGAGTGAGCTGGTCAGTAGGCTGTAGTATAGGAGTTCGGTCATAGATGTCGGCCTCTCTCCATTTTTTCTGAGCACTTTGCAGGTATAAACAGGTTGGGCATCTTTTCTCACATCAGTTTCGATGGTGAATAGCATGGTGTTCAGGTTTTGACTAAGTGTTTTCTGTGCTTCACTAGGTAAAATACTGTAAGTTTTTAGAAGATTCGATTTCTTGTTGTTCTTATTAAAATTCTCGACAAATGCATATAATTCTGGCAGCTGTGGGGAAAAAAGTGGGAAGTCATGAGATTGATGGAAGTGTAATCATCTGGCAGACCCACAAACCCTACAACAAATAGGATAACGAATAACCATGCAAACAGAAGCATCTGTCTTTGGAAGATATTACTGCCTAACTAGACCAAGTCAACTGTGGCAATGTGGAACAAACACCAGATGGTCAAGTCTCAGATTCGTTCCCCGCAAAAGATGTTATTTAGGCACATCATTGAAAGCCTGCATTATAATATGGATTCTAAAGTCTTTAAGATCTTTCCAGCTCTAAAATTCTGTGTTACCAAGGAGAGAAACAGCAGAGGGTTTCCAACATTTGTTTTGAGTAAGGCGCCATTTCTTTTAAAGAAGAAAGAGAGCCAGATAATCTAAATATCAGAGTTTCATCCTGGTGTCCAAAGGCCTTGGAATGTTCAGGAAAAGCAGTGCAAAGGAAGCTGTAATTGTCCTTATTCACTGGAATATTTTACCAAAGCCAATAGTTACATTCCCAATAGTGTTTGGGAATAGCTGTTGGCAGAAAGTACAATTAATATTTCCTCAGAGTCCCCTTCTCCATCTAAAATCTTATATTGAAGGAATAAAACTTTATTTTATAGAGCCTTCTGCCTACTAATTCCATTATTCGTAAGAGGCTTCTTAGGTGGTTAAATTGAAAGGCCAAGGAGGCCAAAGTGAAAGCCCAAACTTGGGTCTTTTAGCCCAGTGCAGTTTCCTTTCAATTCTAGTCAATTCTATTGAAAGAGCAACAAATAGGAAGTGGGCCAAGACTGGTAAATGGCTCTTTCAATTGCATTTCCATTATCATGGAAACAATTTAGCACTCATGCTCCCCTGCCCATGAAAGAGTTGCATATTGCTGTACGGAAAAAGGGTAAGTCAGTGAAGTGAAATGTTTGTTTTCCCTATGGCCCTCGAGGCATGCCATCAGGTACTCAATAGTTTGAATTTTCATAATTCTCATATGTACAGTTTCCTGTGTACAATATTACAGACATACCGAACACCGGGGAGACTCGATTTCCATACCATCTTTACTTGGATTGGTGTCTCTGTTGAGGAGCATTGTGCTGGGATTTTTAGGATCCTCTAGTTCCTAAAATATCAATATAAAGGAATATGAAAGATCAAAAGTCAGATAAAATACAAAAGTGGGGGGTAACACTTTTTAAATCTTTGGAACTTTTAAGTGGGACACTTAATTTTATATCATTAAAATAAATTTTTCTTTTTTTTTCTTCTTTAGGTCTGGCAAATTAATCACATTTTGATCAAATATTTTCTCTGCAACACCTCAAATTCTTATATGACCTGTATGTTCAGGTATTTAATACTAGTTCAAAGTATGCTATATGGATGTTTTTTGTCTCATATATTTTGATTAACTTTCATCTAAAGAAAAACTCACCTCTTTACCCCGGAAAAGTATTTTTTTATTCAGAAGAAAAGGCAAACAACAAGAACAAGAACAAGAATTAACATTTTGAACTTAATTGCTTTGGGCTATTAGGCACTTTACAGATGGAATTTTGTTCAATCCCTGTTCAGGGGATTAAAAATGGCCATAAAATTCATACAATTGATCTCATCCTTAAGTGGCAGCTAAGTCCACTTTCATATTTGACTCTGGGCTGGCATTATGCTTGGCTTTGACTGACAGCACGAAGTGTAAGTGATGTTGTGGAAGTGCCAGAGCCTAAGCGTTAAGAAGCTTTGCAGCTTCACTTTACCTTCTTGGAAGCCTGAGCCACCATGTAGAGAGCCAGCTACCCTTCTGGAGAGACCATGTGGAGTTGAGAGCCAGCACCAACCACTAGACATGTAAATGAGGCCATCTTGGATCACCCAGCCCCATCTAAGCCTCCAGATGACAACAGCTGCATGAGCAGCCACAGATGATTCCCAATAGCGAAGAACAACCCAGCTAAGCTGGCCAACTCTGAAATGATGGCAAGTAATGAACTACAGTTGCTTCAAGACACTAAGTTTTGAGCGGATTGTTATATAACAGTAAATAATACATAAACCCCACAATACTTCATGTTCTTGGTTTAATTTATTCCAGTGAAACCTCTGTTGGTAGGTAGGGGAATGTATGAAAGAAAATATCTTCCCGACTACCACTATTTCCTGACTGGTAGCTGCGGGAACTGGGATGAGAGTCAAGAGATGAACCAGAAACACTTATCTGGTGTTAGTGGTGAAGCAAAAACAATTAGGTTTTTCCTCCTTCCCAAGCAAAGTAGAAAACCCAGAATGAATATATATCTATATAGATGAATATATATTTATTCTGAGATATCTATTATTTGATATGTATTTATGTCTAAATATATTATCACTATTGAGTCCAGTATATCAATATATAGGACAAAAAAAGCAATATAATACAGCATGCCCACCCATTTCTTACATTTCGGCAGTGGCTTCACAGATATTTCTACCTCTGACCAGTTAAAATACCAGATGCAGAGTTCAAAACACTGGTTATAAGGATGGTCAATGAACTTAGAAGAGTAGATGAATTCAGAACTAAGAGATAGAAAACATAAAAGTGGAGATAGAAAACATGAAAAAGAGCCAGTCAGAAATGAAGAATACAATAACTGAAATGAAGAATAAAATAACTGAAATGAAGAATACCTTAGGAGGAATTAACAGTAGATTAGATGAAGCAGAGAACCGAATCAGCGATTTAGCAGAAAACACCCAATTGGAACACAACAGAAAAAAGAATCCAAAAAAATAAGGTTGGTTTAATGGGCCTCTGTGACAACATCAAGTGTACTGACATTTGCATCATAGGGGTACCAGAAGGAGGAGAGAATGAGCAAGGAAGTGAAAACCTATTTCAAGAAATACTGACTGAAAACTTCCCTAACCTAATGAAGGAAATAGACATACAAGCCCAGGAAGCTCAGAGAGTCTCAAACAAGATGAACCCAAAGAGGCCCACATTAAGACATATCATAATTAAAATGTCAAAGGTTAAAAACAAAGAGAGAATCTTAAAAAGCAGCAAGAGAAAAACAGTTAGTTACATGCAAGGGAGTGCTCATGATTGTCAGCTGATTTCTCAACAGAAACTTTGCAGACCAGAAGAGATTGGCATAAAATATTCAAAGTGATAAAAAGCAAGGATCTACAACCAGGATCACTCTACCCAGCAAAGCTATCATTTAGAATCAAAGGACAGACAAAGAGCTTCCCAGACAAAAAAAAAACTAAAGGAGTTTATCATCACCAAGCCACTATTATAGGAAATGTTAGAGGGACTTCTTTAAGAAGAAAAAAGAAAAAAAGATAACAATGAATAATAAAATGGCAGTAACTACATATCTAGCAACAATTACTTTAAATGTAAATGGATTAAATGCTTCAATCAAAAGATAGAGTGGCTGAATGGATAAGAAAAAAAAAAGACTCTTACATATGCTGACTGAGAGAGACTTCGGATTGAAAGACACACACAAAGTAAAGGGATGAAAACAGTCGTTTTCTGAAAATGGAAACAAACAAAAAAAAAACTGGGATAGCAATACTTATACCAGACAAAACAGACTTTAAAACAAAGTCTATAATAAGAAATTTCCGGGTATTTATCTGAAGAAACCCAAACATTACTTTGAAGACACTGGTGAATTCATATGTCCATTGCAGCATTATTTACAGTAGCCAAGACATGAAGGCATCTTGGGTGTCCATCAATGGGTGAATGGATAAAGAAAAGGTGGTATATACAGTGGAATATTACTCAGCCATAAAAAAAAAATGAAATCTTGCCATCTGCCCCAACATGGATGGACTTAGAGGGTATTGTGCTGAGTGGAGTAAGTCAGAAAGATAAATATCAAATGTGGAATCTAGAGAACAAGGTAAGCAAACAAACAAACAAACAAACAGAAACAAGCTCATAGATACAGAGAACCTTTTGATGATGGTTGTCAGATTAGGGGTGGGGGAATAAGTGAAGGGAGGAGGGGATAAAGAGGTGCAAATTGGTAGTTACAAAATAGTCAGGTTGTAGAGTATAGCATGGGGAATACAGTCAGTAGTACTGTAATAACTGGTTTCAGATGGGTACTGAATTTATGGGGTTAATCACTTTGTAAGTTATATAAATGTCTAATCACTATGATGTACACCTGAAAAGTAATATTGTATGTCAACTATTGAAAAAAATAAAAATATAAAAATTTAAAAATAAAAAGATACTATTTTTTTTAAATGGGCAAGTGATTTGAATAAAGATTTCTCCAAAGAAAATATATAAATGGCCTATAAACATATGAAAAGATACTCAACATCATTAGCTATCAGAAAAAAATGCAAATTTAAGCAACAATGAGATAATATTTCACTCCCACTATGATGGCTATAATAAAGACAAATAAAAATGATTGTTAGTGAAGATTTAGAGCTATTGGTACCATCATCCATTGCTGGTGAAAAAAGCAAGATGCTGAAAGTGAGTACAACATGATCTCAATCTTATAAATAGTTACTATGAATCTTTTATATATATGTATATATGTCAATATATGGTTATATAAGCACAGAGAAAAATAAACTGGTGGGAATGAAATATGGTGCAGTCACTTTGAAAAACAGTGTAGCAATTCCTCAAAATGTTAAACATACAGTTGCCATGTGACCCAGCAGATTCACTTCTATTACTCTTCCAGAGTCACAGTGAATTATTATGGATGTTTAATTTATCAAAGTTAAAAAATTATTATACCTTTCAATTTTGTTCTATTCTCTTCTTTAGTAAGACCAAGTATATATGTGTGTGTGTGTGTGTGTGTGTGTGTGTGTGTGTGTGTGTGTGTGTGTATGTTGGTTCCTTTACTGTCTATCTTCTCTATCATCTTCTTATAGTCTTAAATTCATTGTTCTTTTTTTCAATGGTAGAGGAGTCCAGTCTCCAGTGGATGCATCTTAGAGGTAATGGAGGTACCAGGGTGTACAAACTTGGGATACTGACCATTAGTAATGGCTACGAATACTAGCTAACATTTGTTGAACACTTATGCATATGCCATACGTAGTTCTGGGAACTTAAATGTATTACCCCATTCGATCCTCTCAACAACTCCCTGACAGAGATGCAATTATAGTCTCTATTTTACAGATGAGAAAATTGATGGTGAGCACCATGACTAATGTAACAGCTAAGTAGTAGTGAATCTGGGTTTAAAGCAGTCTGGTTTCACAACCTACATTTTAATATGTAATTACAATGTGCTAATATACATTAGCATAATAAATATTATGCTATCATGCATAAATGGAATCTTGTCACATGCATTTTTCAATGATTTTGTTTTTCTTTTTTGCCCCTCCCCCTCCCTGCCTTCTTTTATTAGCCCCTCCTTCAAGTTAATTTTTCTCTGTGCTTATATAAGCATATATTGACATATATGTACATATATACACACATAAAAAAGATTCATAGTAATTGTTTACAGGACAGAGATCATGTTGTACTCACTTTCAGCATCTTGCTTTTTTCATTAGTGATGACTTTGTAAAAAAGTCCGCCAACTAATCTAGTATATCTATGGCCAGTATAGGTGCTCCTTATATCATTTCTACTAGAGCATGTTCAATTTCAACTTCGACTCTGTAATCCAATGTGTGGGCTTGCCCCTTGCCCTAGCAGCCACGTGCAGGCCCTCCTGCCATGAAAACATTGAGACTGTGCCAGGTTTTGCTCAGAACTGGTCAGCCTAGGAGGGAACCAATCCCTTCTTCTTCAGGTGGGGGAGCCCATCGATTTCAGGGTGGCTGGAGTGGCTTTGGTTGTGCTTGTGACAACAGCGGCTGTACTGCTGTGAGGATAGATTCCAAGGGGGCAGGATTCTTCTTTGCCCTGGGCCACCCACTAGGGACTTGTTTTAAAAATATAGTGTATTAACAGAAAAGTTGAGGTTCAGTAAAGTCAACAGACCAGGAGATGATTGCCTTGAAAAGATTGCTGCTAACAGTTTCCAAGAAGAGGGAGCATGCCACCCCATGGCGTGTGTGTGTGTGCGTGCGTGCGTGCGTGTGCGCGCACGCACAAACTGGAAGCACCAGGATCTGTCAGGAGGT